TTGCGCAGTTCCTTCCAGCGAACGTTTGCCGCAATTCCTTCCAGTGAACGTTTGCCTACTAAGGGTTTTCACTGCTTTACTCTTTGTTTTGCGCAAAAATAGTTGAAATGTTGTCTGGTCCCTAAGTTGCGGAGTTTCTCACGGATGATTTCACGCACCCGTACATGGAAGTTGAATGAGAATTTGAGCGGTGGTTATCCTTCCAAAATTTTAGCTTCCTCATTTTATGATTTTTGGATGGTTTTCGCGTCATAACTTTCGCGTGGTCGTACGTGAGACCTTGGCATGCTTGGAAATCTCGCGTACGACCACGTAAAAGCTAGCACGAAAATCAGTCGAGTACAAACCTCTGGAAAGACCTTTCAAATCCTTTTCTGGAGGGTGGTTGTTACTAGCATGTGCTTACTACCCAACCTGCTTTCGCATACCATCCTTTGTCAGTGTGGATAAATTAAATAATGATCTGTTCAGTTTTTTATTTTTTCAGTGTACGAATACGGCGACGACGTGAGTAAGTACTGTGTCAATGAGCGCGTCATCTTAATGTGCAACCATCAAAGTACAGCAGATGTTCCTGTCTTGATGGCTATTTTGCAGAGTAAAGGAGTGGCTAGTAGAAAGGTTGTTTTTTCGAAGAACAGTGCTTACCCAGGTTTTTCACCTCTTTCCTCTAGAACTTTACTTGTCGCACTAGCAGCTTTACAGATTTTAAAGGCCAGTCATATTTTACCCTGACTGAGAGGCAGATCACAGTACGTTTTCACCAGATTCTAGGGTGTGCTCGACATTCGGTTCTGATCAGCTTCATTGCCGAGCATGTGAAATAGATCAGCTGTATGGAAACAAGACATGGCACTGTTGATTAATCCTGTTTCGTTGATTAATTTTTTTAGTGCAGTTTTTTGTGTATCATTATTACAAATTTCACTGCTACGTGATGGGCCTGGGAAAATTGCTGAGGACTGGAGAAGCAGTTGTTCTTTAGTGCAGTTCTGCGCTGTAAAAACGCTCCAGTATCTCTATTCATCCGATGCCTTTACTGATTTAACTAATTTCAACTTTTAAGGCGTATTTCAGAGATATATTACGCTGAGTGTTGTTAAGGTCTAGTAGAGTAGAGAAGCTGTATCAAGCTTTCTTTTCCATTAGTAATGTGATGTAAATATTAGAAAAAATTGATGAATGAGAAATCGAATTTAAACAGATGATAAGGAAGTTTCGGATTTTCCATCCTGCCAAGGTATATTTAGGCTTCGTTAAACAGTTGCCCTTATTTGGCCAACCGGTTTTGTCAAAGAATGTAAAATAAATCATGTGCATGGTCTTTTCTGCTGGGGGGCAGTTAAACAACAAATTCTACGGCAGCAAATGGTTCGCATTTAACGCTCCAACGAATAATTTTAATTTATTGGCCATTTTTTGTCTTCGATAACGTACGGCTACTGCAAACATCCCATAACGCTGTTGAGGGAAATTATTAAATTTCTAAATTGATTCAGACTCTGTGGCTGATGGATGTGATGTTTCGGTGGACGCCGTTCGGCATCATTGGTCGAATGCACGGCGATTATTTTATCAGGCAAGGTAAAGCAACACGTGAAAAAGAGTTGCTACGATTGAAAGATCATTTGCGCAAGGTTTTCTGGGATCGCGATCGCCGATGGATTATCCTATTTCCGGAAGGCGGCTTCTATTATAAAAGGATCGAGTCGAGCCAGAAGTATGTGCGATGGCAGCAGTAGCATTTAGTGATTACATGAATCAGATAAAAATTCTTAGAATATTCCTAGGTCCCAGCTGGTTTTCTGAGAAAGAGACTTCAGCGCTGAGAACCAAGATATAGATTCAGATATCATCAGTATCATAAGAATCACGGAATGTTAGCCTTTTTTTTTACGTTCCAGAGATACAGTCATGTTGAGCCGGGCTTTTATGTTCTTCCTTCTTGTTATGCGATTTTACATTGCAGTGCTTAGCACTGCTACAGTGAGCATTAATGCACGTCCGTGTGTGTGTGTGTGTGTGTGTATGTGTGTGTGTGTGTGTTTGCGACTAGATCTCGCGTACGGACCCCCGAAAAAAATATGCAGATTTCTTTGGCGGGAAACAATTGGTACAGAGAAGATAGAATGCTGGAACTTTGCAAGGATATTCTCTGTGCATGTATGAGCCAAAGATTTCAAATTCAGCTACCGCGCGCATCTTTACCACGCATACGTCCGCAGTTGGCACTGTGCTAACTCAAAAACTAGCTGGAAAATGGTAGCTGAGAATATTTATTGTTCATATAGGAAATCGTACACATAAATTGAGTTTCGACTTGCATTTGGGTAACGATTTAGGGCACTTCAAAGGTATTTGTAGCGAAGTGGTTATTTCTTTTACGGGGCAAACTGCGTGGTTGAAACTGTGCAAGTATGTTCTATATTCACATGTGTTCTTAATTCATCTTGGAGGTGAAATTCCATGCGCACAGATACGACAAATACTTAATTTTACCGCAAACTGGAAAGCGAGCGCTTTTTACGGGTTTCGTCATCTTCTTTCGACTTCCTTCAACTTTACATTTTTCAGTGAACGAGCATTCACCGAAAAAACGGTCGAGCTTCATGCAAAAATTTGTTAAACATGCACGCTTGAAGTCCGCGCCGCCCAATAATGCAGTACCATCGTATCGCGGCCTTTTTAAGTTAATATTCTAGACTAGTAACGTGCCTTATGTGTAAGTGTGGAAGACACCTGGTCATATATGCATATTTATAACTACGTGAAATAATAAAAGGCAATAAAAAACGGGTGATGAGGTTCTGGGGAGCCGAAGCACCCCAGAACTGGGATAACAAGAGAGTGGCGTCTCATGTGGTTTGAACTAGTTGTAGAATCCCGGAGATGGGGGGAGTGCTTTCATATCCTAGGGGTCAGAGATTACTAGGATAGCAAAACTTTAACGGGGGTAGGGCCCCCAAAGTTTGGACCAGGGACCGGGCTATTGCATCATAGTGACGCAATTGTCCTTTACGCCATTTTTTAACAAAAAACCATAAATCATTATTTGATATATTATGTGACAATCTCAGCCAACGCCTTTTACCCCTGCATGCGGAAAGGGGCCAAAACAAAGCCAGTATGAGTCCACGCGTTAATTTACATTACACGAATAATTCCTGCTGTTAACGATCTGCAAATTTGATGCAAAACGCATGATCGTGCCGGCAGGCCTGGCGCATTGCAGCCTGGATGATTATATCGATTACATCTGTGCACCGCTTCTGCGCCAGAGTGGTCGTTGTCGCCTGCGCGCCATTGATTGATAGGTGGTGCTTCCCGCGCATGTTTTTGTTGCCAATGGCACTGTTTTTCCCAGCAGATGCTTCTAGCTAAGAGAATTCAGAGTAGCCATCACGACTATTAAAAATTATTTCAATGGTTGTCAATCCGTGCCCAAAAAAACTTGGCGGTCCAGCTGCTGTTGTTGCGGAGTTACGTCAAATTTAATGTGTTTGTACGTGAGTGACAACGTGAATGCTGTCTTCGCGTGCCGTGGGTCATGCTGGGAAAACCTCATCGCTCTAGCTGTTTTGATTGCGAAGTTGCGTCAGATTTCACGTGTGTGCACGTGAAACGTACATGAGACATGAAGGGGACGTAAAAGTCGTTTTTACGTCTACCTGGTTAAAGGCCACCATCGGCTATGCTCAGAAAGTTTCAGTCCTCGAGCTGCTTCAGTTCTGAAATTAAAAAACTGCCTGCGTGAAATTTTCACGTGCCCGTACGTGAGGTGCTGAAAAACTGGAAAGCTCAATTTACTTTCACGGGCACGCTACTGGTCGACAAGCAACGCAACAAAATTGCAACTCCTTGGCCAGCTTAAGTCTGGAATTGGCATTATGTCAGTTCAAACTTTGACGTGCGCGTTTGAGGGACCTAGGGGCGCATAAAGGCTGAAGTAGAATTCTTTGAATTACACGCGGACAAGGAACATCCCTATGAAGTTTCAGCCTAGTAGCTTGTGCCGTTCCCGAAAACACTTTCTCGCCAAAAAAAACTTTCATATGCCTGTGCGTGAGAACCATGCGGTTGTGAGTGTCCATTTCGAAGATAGGGGTGGATTAAGTTTTCAGAGTTTCAGCTTTGTAGCTTTTTTGGATCCCGAGATGAAAATTCGTTGCAGACACATACACACAGACAATCCCTCGATAGTATGCGTTTTTGCATTGTATGGATGCAGAAAACGCATTACAAGGCAGCATTTCTAGACGAATGAGTTGGACTCTGTTTATTTGGTTTGCATCGTCACGGATGCACTTCTCTTAGAACGTCTTCTACTTTATGTATTATACTTGCAAGTGAACTTCTAGGATTATGCGCTCAGTCAATCTTGTCGCATATTTGGGGGTAGTTACAGAGTTCAAGAAGGTAGTGATACCACGAGTTTGAAATCCGACGCCTACCTTTTTTCATGATTGACGATCCGCTGCAATATTAAGTTTGATTGAATTTATTTCGAATTCTGAGGCCGCTCCAGTTTTTCCCCACATTTTTACTAAGTTTTTTGGATTTCTTGGGAATTATTTTGCGGATTAACTCGTAATCATCATCATTAGAGAAAAGAAGAAAAGTGAAAACGAAATTGTTGAGTTGTAGGCATTTAAGTGCTTCATCAACATTGCGTGCCAAATTCGTTTTTAAAATGGCAAGGATTGCATTTTGGGATTTGAAATCGTGTCTGGTACGTGGGGAAGAAACATGTTCGGGTTGTGTTAATGGTGACTAGTGCATGAAAATGAAGTCTGTAGATTGGTTAGTGTCGTTTTTAAAGAATGTTTCATCTGTCATTGGAAAGGAGGGTTTTCGAAAGTTAGGACGATTTTTAAAGCTTTTCAGTCAAATTTTCTGAGATTTCGTGTAATGCATTTAGAAGCTTGGAGTTTTTAAAATGTGTCTGTGTCCTTGTTCGCATGTGCAGCATTTGTAAAGCTATAAATTTCCAGGTACGGCATTGAACATGGATTCCCACACCTGGAGCATGTTACACTACCTCGTTATGGCGCAGTAAAAGCAATCATGGAGGAGGTTGGTCCGAAGAAAGATTACGAACATGTCGATGGTTTAGTTATGTCCGAAAGTGGTAGCAAGTTACAAAAGATTCGTGACACTGTTGGAGCAATCCGCGAAAAAAAATACATCAAAGGTTTGTTATTAGCAGATTCCCGCGGTTACATAAGAAATTGGGATCACTTTGGTAACGTTTGGAGAGGGAGGAGCGAAAGGGGGGACAAGGAAGAAAGAAATTTATTTGGTTATCTGAAAATGTGGAGGAAGAGCTGATAATTTCTTTGTTTTCAAATATTCGATTCTTGGAAATGGGCAACACATACATTCTTTCTTCACATTAAAGTAGTACAGTGATATTTTTTTACAGCCGGAGCAATAACACTTGTACCGAAACAGTTCTACTGATGTAAGTGATGCAAAACATTGCTCTCTCCCTCTCCACCCTTCCTCCGGCGAAAATTGCAAAGTGTGTTGCTGCTGCTGGCTTATTGTTTCGCCACCACAACTGAATAGTTCCTCTCTATCTGTAAATAACACACTTTCCTCATTGTTTTTAGAGATGCGGCCGCCAGTCAAGTATGTGCTCGATGTAACTATTGCATATCCGCATAAAATGCCGCTTTCGCTTCTTACTTTAAGCTTTGGGACGCGTGAGCCGTGTGATATCGCTGTATACTATAAAATCTACGATGCAAATGATGTGAGTTTTTGCCTCATTAAAATGCCTGCTTTTTTGATCAAGTTGCTCCGGACACAATGATTTCCGATGTCAGCGTGCTTCTCCCCGTTTTAGAAACGTTGCGGTATGCGTTGTCGATGTCCAATTGCCCATTATTACTTTTTAATACTTGACATGGCAAGAAACCAGGCACTGTTTCACATTTACTAAGAAACTTTATTTCACCCCCCTCCCACTCTATCGCAACGCAATGAGAATGATGGATAGAGGGGCAGGCGGAATTCGCTGTGATACTTTCCTTGCAAAACGAATAAAAATTATATTAACAAGAGTCATGAAGAAAACAGGTGAAAAAGCGCCGGAATTAAAATTTTTCAGCAGTTTCAGCATTCTCTTCACTAATTTCAGGTACCATTTGATGATGAAGAAAAGCTCCGTGACTGGATGTATAAAGTCTATCAATACAAGGATAACATCCTGGGTGAGTGGATTGAAATTTATGCTTCGCAGACCGATCCTTTGTTTCGAAGGGTTCCTCTCAGTTTCACTGGAGTGCGGCCATATAATGAATGAAAAAGCTGTCCCGAAGTATTCCATCTTGGGTTGCTTGCCCCCACCGGCTTCCAGTAGAATTAGTTTTGCTGGCATGTTCTGACGAACGATCATATTTTTTAATGGTGATGAATGATGGTGACCGGTCACCTAGTTTCCTAAGCGTATGTTTTTAAAGTCTGGCCTGTTTTTAAAGTAGGGCTGTTCGTTTTTTGTGCCCAATTGATGACATTTCACATAACTGACTTTTTTTTGATTTGGTCTTTAAATAGTTCTTAAAAATTTCAATGCAGCTAAACACACCGGACTGTATGCTTGCTTTACCGGCAGTTGGTCGGCGCTGCATATTATTCTTGTAGTCCGAGTGGCATGTCGATGGCTCCCTCTTTCAGGAGTTGTTTAGAAGTGAAATATTTGGCGACTTCGACTTTTTGGCAACAGTTTTTTACATGAGCTTGTTGAGCGATTGGTTGCCCTAGTGGCGGAGCCAAATCCATGATCTTCAGCGTGAGAACGGCACTACTTACTACTGCGTCATGCTTGCCAGTCAGTCAGTTACTACATGTATTTCAGGCTGACCATGTGCGCCAGCCGTAGGGCACATAGTAAAATAAGCGATCATTCTACACGATCTCCGAGGCTAGGGGCATACGTAGAAATGACTGACTGCATGTATTTTAGGAGGGAAAAGTCTGGCACAGTTATGCATAGTGTACTGCTCTGTTGCAGTAACATCAAGGACTTCGTAGCTACTGCCTAATCATTCAAAGCCTTCTTTCAGATCGTTACTACAAAGAGGGAGTATTTGTTCATGGTGAAGTCGGTACGCGTGTTTATTTCTCGTGGTGGAAAATTATTGGGCAATATGTTTTCTGGCTTACTTCCTTTTACGTGCAATACCGCATTTTTTTGTTCTTTTTACTTCATTTCGCACGAAGCATTGGATTTGTCTCTTAAGAGACTGTTGAATTTTCTCTGAAAATTCTCCCATATTTCTCCATCGTTGGGCACACATACGTGTTTTCCTAAGTTTCAGTCACAGCCCTCCAACCCTTCTCCATTGTTGCCATTTCTGCTTCCGTAGCCAGCAGTTGTTGAACGGCCACTGATTATGCTTAATATTTTCTAAGTTTCACTTGTATTATTCGTTTGCTTACTTGTTTTTCACCCTTTTTTTGCAGTCCCTATTTTCTTTAGTATTAGCTTATATACGCATTGGTTCGTTGTCAGGTACATGAAAGAATGACGTTATAACTTCTGAGCAGACTGAGGTGCTCATAATGTCTGCAACTTAGAACCTGTAAAAAGTAGCTGCCACACTGCAGCGTTCAGTCTTTATGGATTTATGGTTTTATTTTACAAAGTATGCAGCCTCCTTCTGGTTCTTGTATAATAGCGCCTAATTCAAAAATTTTCTTGGTCTCAAGTCTGCACCTATTTTGCTGTTGATTTTTGAAGAAAACTTATGGACTGTTTGATACTCATGCAGACGTGTTAATGCTTCGTCTGTCCTCAAGCGAAAAATGTAATGATTCTGGACAATTTGAGCTCATCTTTCCTCTGAACTTTAACGCATCTTCGATTCAGATATGCTTTCTTCTTATAATTGTGTGTTATTGTACAAATGAAATTTGTTCTCGCTTTCAGCTGAACGTTTAGAAAATCATTTTTCTTTTTGTTTTTCCGCATTTGTTATTAGCTCACCATATAGTTCAAACTTATTTGTGTGGCGAGGTAAGGTGTGCAGCTCTACATTGGCAGTGATGGCATAAACATCGAACTTACCAGTTCCGGAAAGTGTCGTTCACTGGGTACTTGGCCAAAAGAGGATGCCCAGCACTTGAAGACAATCGAGAACCGTTCTGCTTGTGGTATATATATATATATATATATTGTGTGGGTGTCCCGTATTGGTAATATTATTGATATGATGCAGCTGTGTCAAGTTTTGCGTTCCCGTTAAGGCGAGCAGCATCCCTGCGCGCTGGATTTTATTTCCTCACATGATCACATTGATATCTTATGCGCCGCTGATCTAGCGAAGAATCCGATTATTTATATGGTCACGAAGAGCCACGCCAGGCATCCTGCGTTCCATCGCCTTCTCCTTCCACAGCCAGCGTTCGCTCTTCAAGTCTTGCAAGTGACTATGTTTCGCATCTGTATGTCGTCTCCAGCGCAGTGGTATTGAAGAAATAAATACAGCCGTTTCGGACCAACGCTTAGGACGATTTTATGAAATTTACGCCAGCCGGCAGCCCTGCTATTTGCAAGCTCTGGTTGGAAGTTTTGGCGCATGTTTATTTCCTGTCCAAATAGGTGTCGGTGTGAATTTATTCTAGGAGTCGGCAGCTACCTACAGTCTGGCAGCATATTAGTACTTCGCGTCACCCTCGTTTCGGATGCGTTAGTCTTCAGGCCTGTTTCCTTCGTTCGTTAGCTTTTGCTGCACTTCATTCGTTTCGCAAGGGCTATGCAATAATAACTGTGTTCTGGTTTAGTTGCTGACCATTGCTCTTTAGACCACCTTCCCGATCCAACTTTTCAAATACCACCTCAAGACAGACTGCAAAAAGCTTAATCAGTATAGCAAGGCTTTACTTCACTCTCTTCTGAATTGGTGTATTTGTTCTGGATGGTGTTTGCAGTTGTGAATTTACACTTTGAAACCGTAGGTATGGAAACCTATCTTATTCTGTTCTACTTTTTGGCCGACTAAAATTGAATATTTTCAATTTTTAGCGTAGTTCATTATGCGTTTTTTGCAGCTATGCAATGCAGAAAACGCATATTGATGAGGGGTTGTCTGTGTGTGTGTGTGTGTGTGTGTGTGTGTGTGTGTGTGTCCGTGTTTGCGTCTGTCACGATTTTCATTTTAAAACCTACAAAAGCTACAGGGCTAAAACTTTGAGAACTTAATCTACATGTACGTACGGGCCCCAATCCCCAAAATGGACGCCATTACCCCCGTGTGCCCACGTAAGAGCCCACCAAAGTTTTTTACGGGTAAGCTGCTGACTCGGGAACCAGAGGTTCTTGGGGGGCTGAAATTTTAAAGGAATGTTCCCCGTCCAAGTAGGTATTAATGAGCTCAAAGCCAGCCTCCGGGTAAGCGTGGTACCCGCGTGCGGGCCCGCCAAAGTTTTTTTCGGGTAAGTTTGTAACTCGGGTATCTGAGATGCTGGACTGCTGAAATCTTAGGGTGATGTTCTCCTTCCAAGCCTACGTACGGGGTTGCCAAAATTTTTTTCTGGTAAGCTGATAACTCGGGCACCTGAAAAGCTAAAGGATTGTAATTGTAAGAGGATATTCCCCGTCTACCTAAGTCTCATTCAGCCCAAACCCAGCCCTCGGGTGTGCGTGGTACGCACGCATGGGCTCACCAAAGTTTTTCTCGGGTAAGTTGCTGACTCGAAAACCTGAAAAGCTAGAAGACTGTAGTTTTAGGTGGATGTTCCCCGCCCAAGTAGGTCTCAACGAGCTCAAACCCAAACATCGCGTATGCGTGGTACCCACGTGCGGGTCCGTGAAAGTTTTTTTCCAGTAAATTGCTAACTCAGGAGCCAGGAAAGCTAGAAAGCTGAAATTTTAAGGGGTTGTTTCCTGACAGTTCTGGCGGCCAGTCTTAATTTGTTTAGCTGGAAGTATTTCCCCAAAAAAGTCGGTGCCGGTAGCGACAAAAATTGCGGGGAATTATGCAAAAAAAAAGTATCTTTGCGCGGGCAGCCCGTGCGCTGGCCAATTATTTTGAAACTGCAAAGCTAGTCTGAATTTGGATGTGAGGTTATAGGCTATGATAAAGCGAAATATCGGGTCTGATTTCAAGCTGGCCCCATCAATTCTTAAATTGTTTTTTCGGGATCTGCATCTTTTGGATTTTTATTTTGGTTTTTGAGTATAAATTAATGTGTATTGAAACTAAAGTTCCAGATGGGAGTGCAACGAAAATATGAATTTATTTCAGATTTGAAGTGCAGTTTCTTGTCAAGGATTTTGATTTCAAAATTTCGGCTTCTTTGCCATCGCAGTTTTGGATTTGATTGACTTATAGGTATTTACGCTTACGTATGCAGGGACCTGATCCCATTGTAATGGGTCTGTACGTTTGCGAAAGCAAAACTGCGAAAGTTGCTCTGGGAGTGCGGAGGAGTGGGGAGGGTAGAAGATGTTGCGAGATTTGTTAGCTTTAGTCAGAGGCGGACGCACTTAGCCAGAGTTGCATTGGCTTTAACAAAAGCGACGCGAGGTTTCACCAGAATGCAGGTTTCGCTAGTGCGTGCCTCCAAGATCAGCGTAAAATTGCTGGCTTGCATTGAAATGTCGATGATGGCATGCAGAAACCTTAGATTATAGCACAGTAAATTCCAGTAAACGTCATCTGTAGGCATAGAGGACAAAAAATCGCAACAGCATCACTCATGGCTGCACCATGACATTTCTATAGAGCGGGCTCCATTGGGGACAAGATGCGCATCACAGTCTTAGCACCCATAATAACAACGGATCTTACTGTTGAAGATGGCACAGTTGGTCAAGCTGGCGTCTCTTGCTGTTTTTACGATTTTGAGCTTGAAACTGCTACCGTTTGGCTTTTTATGCGTTTTTGCCGTGCAGCGCTAGAGTGCTGGAACAGGCAGCAAAAACGCATATTGGAACGACCCTGTCTGTGTGTGTGTGTGTATATATGTA